ACCTAGAAGTATTATTTCCTCTGATAGGTTAGTTGGTGTTGTTGCATGCTGTTTGAGTTCCTTGGTTTTTAAGGTAGGATGTTTTATGGTCTTATTATGAGTATCTATTTCTGATTTGGTTTTAGAGTTGATGCCACATATCCTGGTTTTGCTGATCTCTGTTGTGGGTTCTCTATTGGTAGAACTTCCTTAAGCATTTCTTGTAGGGTTGGTCTGGTTTTCACAAAGTCTCTTAATTTCTGTTTATCTGAGAATGCCTTGATTTCACTCTCATATTTTATGGATAATTTGGCTGGATATAGGATTCTTGGTTGGAAGTTTTTTTCCTTCAGAGTTTTATATATACTGTCCCATTGCCTTCTTGCCTGCATGGTTTCTGCTGAGTAATCAGAGTTCAGCCTTTCTGTTTGATTATTATAAGTAATATTTCTTTTTTCCCAGGCAGCTCTTAAAATTTTTTCTTTGTCTTTGCTTTTGGAAAATTTGATTATAATATGACTCTGTGTCTTTCTTTTGGGGTCAATCTTGTGTGGGGTTCTATGAGCTTCTTGGACAAATATTTTTTCTTCCTTCATGATATAGGGGAAGTTTTCTGCTAGTAGGCCTTCCACAATTTTCTCAGTGGTCCTTTTCACCTCTTCTTGTTCTGGAATTCCAATGAGTCTTATATTGTTTTGTCTCATGTCATTGCATATAATTCTTAGGCTCTCTTCATTTCTCTTAAATCTTGGTTCTGATTTTTCTTCATACAAGCTAGTGTCCAGGGATTTGTCTTCTAGTTGTGATATGCATTCTTCAGCCAGTTCTAATCTGCTGTTTTGAGCTTCTACTGTGTTGTGTAGTTCTGTCATTTTGGTGCTCATGGTTTGCATTTCAATAGACATTTTCTGCATTTCTAACTGCTGTTTTTGTATGAGTTCTGATTGTGCATTAATCTTAATATTCCGTTCCTGAATGATTTTTCTGAGTTCCTCCAGGGAACTGTCTGTGTTCTCCTTGTTTCTGTTTGGGATTTCCTTAGGCTTTTGTATAGCTCTATAGACATATCTTCTAAATTCTTTCTCAGATGATTCTATTGCCTCCTCTTCCTCCATGTATAATGAGACCTTTGTTTGTGGTTTTTCTTCTAATGCCTTGTCCTGTTTTTTTTGTTTGATTTGAGGTTACCTGTTGTTTCCTAGACATTTTGAGGTTGTCTTTAGCTGCTGGTTACATGTTGATTTGTTTTGTCTTGGTTTTATGGTTTAATATTTTGAAAAGGTGAAGCTAGTGTATTTTATTTTATTATTGATTCAGGTATGTTGGGTCACTCTGCTGTTTTCTTTGTGATGGTGGAATCACTGTGTGGAACGTGGATATGTGTTTCTGTTTGTCATAAAGAGGATTTAGAGTTTGAAGTGGGAGGTTTTATGGTAATTGGCTGAATATGGTTTCTTCTCTTGAATGAGTGAAGTTATTGGCAGAGAGGGTGGGAGCAGAAGAAGGAAAGCTTGGTGTTGCTAGGGTGGGTTTCTAGGGCTTTGTGGAGGACTGTTATTGATGACATAGTTATTTACAAGTCCGTGGCTCGATTTTAGGAAAGACTGCTGTTGTTAGGGAGTCGCCACTTTCCGCCAGGCTCAGGCACACTCAAAGACCCCGCTTCTGAGTCTCCTCAGTGCCAAAAAACCAATCCAAGGCAAATTCCTGGGACCACACTCAGCCGCAACATCCTCTCTCTCCCCACCCCATCTGCCCATCACACCAGCACAATCCACCCAGACTGCGAATGGCTCGGGAGTTTGTCTGTGATACCACCCACCTGCGGCACCAAAGATGTGCAATGATTTCAGCTGTGCTGGAGTCGGGAGAGTGCCAGCTAGTAATCTGTGGTCCCAATATCAGTGACAAAGACAAGCACAGACCTGTCAATGTCTCCCAGGCTGACCCAAGCCCACTCAGTGACCCGCTGAGGGGGGAGTGAGCTCACCCTCCTGGAGCACCAGTGAGCTCTCCTCTTGAGTTTCAGTGGTGCTGTGTGCACCCGTTTGCACTTAGCTGATCCAAGTTACCAATAAAATCAGGTGCTGAAGGCAGATCCTTGGGGCTGTTTGCTGGGATGTTGGTGTGGTCGCTGGTATGCTGATATAGGGTGTCTTCTTTCTTGGCTCAGGGAGATCTCAGGTGGCCACCCTCGCCCGCCAGTCAGTGACTACCCCAGGGAAGTTTCCAATGGCCTCTCTCGGCTGCCTGTCCATCCTCCACCAGGTAGATCTTTCTTAAATAATCTCCCTGTGCCTTTCCTCTAATTCTGCTCTTCTGTATTTGGTGCACTCTGATTTAATGAGCTGTCCAGAGCACCAAAATCCCTAATTCAAACTGCTGTACCTAGTTTTTCAAGCACTAAGACGCTGGAGGGAAATAGCGTGGTGCTTACTGATGAGACTCCATCTTGAATCCTAATGTATACCTTTCTTTTGAAGATAATTTATCATTTCTGCTCTGGTTATTTTAAAGATTTCTCTGTCTTTGAACTTGGAAATTTTATTATGCTCTTCTTGGATACAGATTACATTTTCTGTGACTTGAAGTCTTTCACCAGTTTTGGAAAATGTTGCTTTTGCCCTACACTCTCTGTAGATCTCTAATTCTTATATCATAGCACTTAATTCTCTATATGCTTCTTCAGTCTTATTAATATATAATTATGTGTTTTTACATAATTTTATCTCTCCATGCTTGTTACTGGATGTTTTCTTCTGACCCCTCTTCTAAGTGGGCTAATTCTCTCTCCAGCTATCATCACCAATAATGAGGCTCCTAATTCCAGTTATTGCAATATGTATTTTTTTTAAAGAAGTGATCAGCATCTCAGATATAGACATTGAACAGCTCATATACAGGACATGATAAAGCAGAAAGACAGGTCTTTAAGTTCTCATAACAGTGAGCAGGAACAACACTGGGGAAAGTGAAATGTAGGTATTGGCAAAACAGTGGCTGAAGGATTGAACCATGGCACTCAAGCTAGATAGGAAAAGAAGAAAAGAAAGTGGAAGTGATAGGGAGAAATTGGAGGGTTCAATGTAGCGGATGTCTAGATAATGTGAGGAAAAGTAAGAGATGCAGGAGTAGTGGGAATAACAATGAGAGAGGTAAGAATGAGGAACTGAGATCAGTTTAAATGTAACTTTAATAGGGATAGCTAGATTAGTCAAGGTAGTCTCTGCTTTGTGGCAATAATAAGCCCCAACTCTCAGAGACTTTACGCAATAAGAATTTAATTCTTGATCACATATTTGCCAAAGCATATATTTCTGGCTAAATGGTTCTTATGGGTGACTTTCTCCAAGCAGTAAATTAGGAACATAGGCTTTTTCTATTGAGTGGCTACTTGAAGTCCTCCAACTGACTCCTTTTTATCAGGCATTCTTTCATTTACTACCTATTTATTTGTTGCTGTAATACACTCTCATATGACAGAGGATAGAAAGCATGAAGTGTCATATAATCCTTTCTTAAGCACTACATCCTGGAAATGACCCCTATCACTTCTGCTCATACTCCAGTGTTAAGAGCCAGTCACCTGCATGCAAATGGAACTGGGAAATGTAGTCCCTGCTTAGAAAACTGCTTTCTAGCAATAACCCTACATGATAGATGGAAGAATTTATCAGTCCATTGCAATTGTTTTCAGGGGATAAAATGAATGATCAAGTTCTGAATCTATAAGAGCAAGATGTAGGAATGAGGTAGATATCAACTGGATGTTAAAAGCCTCAAAACAGAATTTTACTTAGAGCGAGGAGATAATAATCTTCAATATAACCAAACCACTCCACTCACTTCCTGGCCACCCCTTAAAGCCTCTTCAAAAGCCACTGGTGCCCAGCTCTCCTTCCAGGCCACCCCTTAAAGCTGATTGCAACAGCCCTGGCATCAGGCTCCCCTTCTGGGCTGCCCCTTAAAGCTGCTTCCAAAAACCCCCGCTGATGTAACTGTAGAGAGAGTGATATCTTCTGGAGTATAATGGAAAAGTTGGAGAGGGAGGAGAGTATTGTGAGTCTAGGTTATGGAAGAAGAAGGATAAAATGGTTTAGGTATGATACTGTGGGGGAGGAAGTAGACCAGAGGAACTTAAATATTGAACTATGGACAACTATAGGATGAATGTGTGATAAGATGGATTTATTTGGTCCCAGAATTGAAAGACAATTAGTTCTTCAATTACTCTAGCAGGGAAGGACTGGCAAGTTGACCTCGGGTCTTTTGGCTGCCATCTGGGTGTGTTATACTACACTTCTTGGAGAATTAAGTCTCTGATAGTTCAGAAAGTTACTGTTGAAGAAGTCATCCTTGGCTTGATTTCAGTGTGATCTGGGGGATATCAGGAGTTAATATTGGTAATTTCTAGAAAGACTTCACAACTGGAGTGCCTGAAGGGCAGAAAGTCCTACTCAGGGGATGTGACGTATGGTGATTAGAAGTGGTAAGTTCTTTCTGTTATGTTCTACAAAGTGAAAGGGCAGAGTCAGGGGAATCACGGAGGAGACTGGGTAGGCTGGCCAGGGAGGATGGCAGAAAATCAGGAGAGTGTGGGGACACTGAAGCCAAGAAAAGAAAATGTAATGGTCAGCAGGGTCAAATGTTGCAAAGAAGTCAAGTGAGATAAAGGCTAAATAATGTCAATTTGATTTAGCACAACTGTGATAAATGACCTACAGCCAAAGGCAAATTCATAAATAATTCAAACAACATTAAATATAGTTTGGAGAAAAAAGAAAATACCCATAACTGCATCATCATCCTATAAACATTGCTTTATTTTTTCTGACTTCTTTAAAATCTGTTTTATTTAATTTTGCATAAATGAATTTTAATAGTCATATAATATAATATAAAAGTGATATGTTCTTTCTACCTACAGTTTTCTGGTTTATTTTCCTTAGGTAATTTATGTATATATTTAAAATAGAAAGACATATTTGATTGTATACTATTTAAATTCATATATGCCATACCTTATGCATAGTAGTATTAAAGCTGTAGTCATTCCTTCCATGTATCTCCCACACTATGAAATTTACTGCAACATCTTCAATATATCCATTTTCACCAAATCTGAAAGAAATAGCATACACATAAAATAATAGTTTAGTGTAGGGTAGAGGGTTAAAAACTCTAGCTTTTTAGTCAGATGACTGAAAACTTTAAATCCTGTCTTTTAAATTCATCGTTTGTCTCTCAGTTTTTCATACTGGGTGGCTTCTGTGTTGCTGTGATGCTGGAAGTTATGCCACCAATATTTCATGGCAGGGTCACTCATGGCAGGGTCATCCATGGTGGACAAGTTTCAGTGGAGCTTCCAGACTAAGACAAAGTGGATAGAAAGTCCAGGAGATCTGTTTCAAAAACTTGGCCAGTTTTTGAAACAGATCTCCTGTTTCAAAAACCTTATGAATAGAAGTGGAGCATTGTCTGATATAGTGCCAGAAGATGAGTGCTTCAGGTTGGATGATATTCAAAATAGGACTAGGGAAGAACTGCCTCCTCAATGTAGAGTTGACCTTAATGATGTGGGTGGAGTAAAGCTTTTGAGAACTTCATTTGCTGATGGGACATGAGTCTAAATAAGTAACAGCTGCAAATATCCTTTAATAATTGGAATGTGAACTTCTAAATGGTGAGGAAGTTAAGAGAGTTGCAAGATAGAATGGACTATTGTAACAAGTTCTGTACCTCACACCATACACAAAAATGAACTCCAGATGGATCAAAGACTTAAATGTGAAATGTAAAACTATACAGTTCCTCAAGAAAAATCTAGGGGCAAATTTAAGGGCCCTA